TATCACTTGCCGGAAGGATTTGGGGATTCAATTCACACTGTAAAAGGCTTCTGTAACATAGAACACCTCTCTTCCACCATCACTAGGACAGTTTTCAAAAGTATAGTCTATACCTAGTATGGTGTTTAAGGTTGTAATGGTCTCGTTTTATACTATAAAAGCATTTTAATAATAATGCTCCCTGCATCCACTACCAGTCCATCCAAACCTTCTAGGTAAGGGTGTCAATACTGAATAGCAACAAAAGCATGAGTCCTGGCTTTAGTGCTTACTAGCTATTGCCTTGGGTGAGTTACTTCTTCCTGTACATTAGTTTCCTCACTGTGAGATAAGAAGAATACTACTCTTCCAAATTCACACAATTTTTAAAAATTCACATGAGCCCTGGCTGGTGTAGCTCAGTGGATTGAGCTCGGGCTGCAAACCAAAGCATCACAGGTTCAATTCCCAGTCAGGGCATATGTCTGGGTTGCAGGCCACAGCCCCCAGCAACCACACATTGATGTTTCTCTCTCTCTCTCTCTCCCCCCTCCCTTCCCTCTCTAAAAATAAATGAATAAAATCTTTTTAAAAATTTACATGACATAACATCTGTGAAAGCAATTTATAATCAAGAAATAACCATACCCTTAGAGTGCATCAGCAGAGTTGTAAGGTAATCAGTCATCTGCATTTGGATTCATATGTTACTGGGTGTCAGGAGGAAACCTCTTTATCACCAAAGTTTGGGAGGAGATTGGGTAGCAAAAAGGTAGGGGAGGGAGGAAACACAATGTTATTTCTAGGTCTAAAGCCATTTCCAGATAACATAAAGTAGCCAAGGTTTTATGAAACATTGGTTTTTGGTTAATTTTAGTTGAAAATCAGTGAATAGGGAAGAGACAAAATACGTGATCCACTTTTCATTACCATTTCATAAATCCACCTTCCATATTTTTATCTTTTTCTAAGGCACCAATAAGACTACTGTCAGAGGATATTATTGTTCCCCAACAGTGTCAGGGTGGGTCTACTGGCAATGCACAAAAGTCTCAAGAAAAACAGTTTAAAACCCATAAAAGATGCATGGCAGCTAGTGAAAGAGTTCTCGTGCCGCAAATTACAAAGATTTGGATCAAAGCTTCTGCTCTCCGCCTAACTTTCCAGAAATGGAAAACCTTATAGACTTTTAATACAGTAAAAGAGCCAGGAGCACGAGCAGTGAACAGATCAGAAGTGGGCAGCAAAGAAAACAGGAGAAGGCGGAGGGGGCAGGGACCTGCTAATGAGCCAAATCGTTCTGAAATGAAAACCAGAATAAGAAAGAACTAAAAGATGGGAATATTAATTTATCTTATGACATTATATTTTTTCTTACAGGAAGAAAACTTGATCCAGATTATTCCCATTCCCCAGAACCTTGTACTCTGCTCTCTTTACAGAAGTTTTCAAATTTGGGCAATGATACCATTTACAGAAAACAGATTTTCCATTAAAATTTAAAGTTAACAAAACTATCCCTCAATTCCTTAAGTTCCCTTGAAATCTCAAATGATCTGCATCAGCAATAGAATTAGATGTGTCTAAGTATGTTTCTAATAGCACCCAATTTCTGGAAGAAAGCTTCTAAGTGTGAAGTCTCTTTCTGGAGAACAGGGACCTCCGAAGACAGTTTTTGTACCACATGTGTTTGATGCTCTATTCTGTTTTCTCTTGCATCCTAGCTTATTTCTACCTATTTTCTGGTTGAAACCCAGTGTTCCTCTGTCTGTTCAAAACATCTAAATTGTTTATTGTTAAATATTATATTTTTCAGTTCAAGAATACCCATTTGATTAATTTAAATAGATTCCAGTTCTCTGTCAAAGTTATCCATCTTTTCATTTCTTTTGCACATCATTTTCACATTTTCTTGATCTTATTAATCAGTTTTTTAAAGTATCCGATCACTGCGATGTCTAAATCACCAATGGGTTTATTGTCTTTTTTCTCTTGGGTTTTGGTTATTTCTTCTTGTTTTATAGTATGCCTTATAATTTTTCATTGAATGGTGAATATTATGGGGTCTCTGAATGATATATTCCTTCAAAGAGAATTAAATTTTTGCTGGCATTAATAATAAGAAGATTCTGGTAGATGACCTGATCCTATCTGGGCCTGACTCAAAGCTCTATAAGGGCTGGTCTGTATCAGTTTTCCTGGGGTAAGGTGCCTTTTCTCAGCACTTGACAGACATGGTCTCACTGAACCCCTGAGCATGTCTACCAGTGCCCCTCTACCTTGGCAGCATTGAATTCCTCTCTTTCTCCCCAGCACTGTGTGGTTACAAATACCCCAGATCAGTTACCTGGCCATCCAGACGTTCTTCTGTGCTAGGTTTCTTAGGGTCTTTGTCCTGCCTATGGGCAGATTAGTACTGGAGCAGAATTTCTATGCAGGTATTTGGGCTACTTTTCTGTGGTTTCCTCCTCTCCAGAAATGTGTCCCTCTTGTCCTAGCCACCTTGACCCAAATTCTCTCTGTTTCTCTTTGGTCCAACAACAATGATATTCTTCTTACACTGCATTCACCTGTGCTATGATTTAGAAAATGCTCTCCTCATTGGAAAATCCAAGGAGAATTTAAGTTCAGCTTATAAGCTTCTCTTTTCTCAAGGACCATAACCCCTCTTAGGTCCTAACTCTGTTGGTTGCTTTCCAATGCCATCAATGTAATGTCTTATATATTCTGTTGAGCTTTATAGTCATTTACTGCAGAAGGATGTGTCCAATACAAGTGACTCCCTTAGGGAAAATGAAGTCTTCAGTACAAATTTTATTATGCAGAATACTTAGAGAATAAAGTGAGCTTTCAGACATAAGCATGCACAGACACATGGCTCATGATATGGGCATCAGATGCCCTCCTTAGTTGGTAGAGAAGTAAACATGGGTTGACATAGTAGAATGAATTAAGACGGTGTTCACCATACAGTGGACAGCCCACCAAAACAGAAACAGCCAGATTGACTGTCACAAATAAGGAGAGGCACAATTTATCACCAAGGGGGCAGACAATTAGGTATGTACTTGCACAAGAGAAGCTAGGTGATCCTCAAGACCCCAAATTCTAATCTGAACAAGGATTCAAGACTTCAGAGAATCCCAAAATGAGGCCTAGCACAGCTGCATGGGTCTCTGGTGCTCTAATTAATTTTCCCTGCCAAAAGAAGTCTTGTATTTTGTCTAGATGGCTAATCAATCAAATCCTAATGCTAAGAGGAAATACTCTTAGGGCTGAAAGCAAGTTTGACTAGAGTAACAGTGACCTTCACCATCAGTAATTACAGAAGGAGACGTATTCCTATTAGGACATCTACTATCCACCACCACTCCGCCACCCCTTTGGGTTCTGCTGAATTAGATTGCAAGTGATGGATCCCTCCATGGTCAGCGTTGTTCAGCCTCATCAGTGACCTAGCCATCCAAGGGAGGCCAGGGGACCGCCAGCCCACCAGATTTGTGACTCACAGCAATAAGTAAATTACCTACATAATAAAAATTATTTACAAAGAAATAGTTTTTTGCTTTAAAAACATCACAATAAAATTTAAAAATTAATTGCCTTACCTTTCTAGTACAGATATTACATTTACCATGAAAAGAGTATTATATAATGATTAAAATTTAATGTTTAAAGAATCAACATATATAACATAAACTTTTGCTTTCCAAGCAAGCAGCTGTAAGAGACACAATATATATGTATATTGATCTCTATATTCCTCTTATACTTATAAGGAAAAGATGGAGTATCTATCAATGAGATAGTCCCAGGACTTAGCATGATGCCCAACACACAGTAGATCATCAATAAGTAAATAATGAAGGGATTAATTAAACAACTTTGGGATGGAATTGCACTGGTCTAAGGGCATGCCTCTCATACTGATATCAAGATAAATGGACTTCCTGATCAAACATGACTCTATAATAAAAGCGGAGAAGATAAAAGAATCTGGATTGTTAACGGTTCTAAATAACATATTCTTTCCTATGACAGTTATGGGGTGAAATCAAAGGAGACACAGAAGAAAGAATATTTATTCAAGAGCTTGCCCCACCACTGTTTGTCTGCAAGGGTGTCTTTGAGCAAGACACACATTGCCTACAAAGTCAGTGTCCTCGCCCATACAAGCAGAGGTGTGTGCACTCACTCTGCAGGGCTGGGTTCTGCAGGGCGAGATTAGGCCCAGCTCTAGTCCCCTCCCTTGCAACAATCAATGCAGCTCCTCTTGGCTTTTGTAGAGGATTACATTTGTGCAATCAAGGTTGTGGTTAGAAGTTTGAGAAGCATAAGACCATATAATCCCAAAGATGTTTTCCAAGTCCATGCGTCCTTAATTCTATGAATATGTTTCACTAGATAAGGGGGAAAAAAGCTATCAGCTTTTATAATCAGAACCAAAAATGAAACCACTTTCATGGTGCTTAGTTTTTGGCAGATTTTCTAAGACAAATTCCCAAGACTTTAATAATTTTTAAACTCACATACTTAATGAATATTTAATCCATGTCTTAAGTTTATTTATCCCAAATTCATCACAATGCTTATTTTCTGAGAATGAAGTCCACCTCTAAAAGGACTTTTCAGTATATTTAACAACTGTTTTTTAGAATAAAGCCTGAGTTTCAATGAAAAATTATTTAGTAACTAAGCTGCCGATTAACCTGGTTTATGAAGTTTTTACTAATTGAAAACACTGTCCTTCTCTTTCTCATGTAATGGCCCTTACTGTGAGCTAACAATGTTTTTAAGAGACATCACAGGAGCACCAAGAAGCCCTCCTCCAGAAAGGGAACTTCCACGCAGTCCCCAGTTTTTTTTTAGTATTTTAAATTGGGGTAATAAATCTTTCACTGGCCTTGATAATATTAATTCTTAAAGTAAATATAATAATATCAAACATTTGGGAGTACTTACTATATATAAAAACACTATTCTAAATACTCTAAATAAACTATACTTCATTAAATTCTCACCACAGTCCCACTTTCCAGAGGGGTAGCTGAGACACGAACTCCCACTGTCTCACTCCTAGTGAAGGGCAGAACCAGCTTCGCCCCTGCGGTCTGACTCAGGAGCTCAGGGCTGGAACCCCAGGGCCACACGGCCACACGTCGGTGTCCACTGAGGGGCATCAACATCAGGGGGAGGAAATAAACCAGGGTGCTGGAAATTACAAAAAACAGCCATCATAAGTTTGAATTCATTTTACTCTTTTCCGTTTATGTTTATTTTCCTCAAAATATATTTCCCCATAATAAATTAAATAAAGTAAAATAATGTAATGAGGGGAAAAAAGCACCGGAGACAGAGTTAAAGTCAGGAAACTTGCACTTGCCAGTTCTGCCACTAACTTGCTACGGGGCTTTGGACGAGTCTTTAAATATATATTTCAAACCTGGAGGGGAAAAAATTCTAATTTTACCTATATAAAAAATCATAAAGAAGTCATAGCAATTGTATTCTTAATGACCAAAACCGTTGCAATAATTATTAAAGGAATACCTGCAAATAACAATCATGCTTTAATTTCTATTATACTATCCTAAACTGAGCTTAAAAAACTCTTCTAAGAATGGTTTCCTTTGTTTCATAGGACTTTTCCTGTAGATAAAATTGTCAGCATTTCCTGGACTCCTCTGCAACTTTCTGAAGATGAACCGCATTAAATAAACTCCAGAGAGGCCACATTTAGAAGATAAGGTGATCGGCAGATGTTGCTCAAAGTATATTCATCTCATAGGACAAATGCTTTGCCTTTTGTTTTTATGTTAAAAAAAACCTCTGAAATTAAAGCACATTTTTTTACTATATTTATGCTAAATAAAATCTAGTTTAGAAATGGAAATACTAAATGGTAAGATTTGATCAATATGTGATCATATGTTGGAATTTTCACAGGGATTCCTCCTTTCATTCATCCTTACCTTTTTCATAGTAGGAAGTCAGGCTCTGTCAGACACTTCTTCATCCTGCTACCTGAAAGCAAAGAACATGGTGTTATTTTTAGGACAAGCTGAAAAGAAACTCCTGTTTCTAAGTTTGCTAGCTATACATTCAAATTGGACATTACATTTCCTTTCCATTCAAGATTTGCCCTTATAACAATATTTGCTAACATCTATATATGCAGAGCTTCTATAACCATTTAAATCAGTTCAGCTTCAATAAGTCAACTCAGTGAAATGTGTGCATTAAATATGTCTAACTTTTTTCTTTAGGGAAGGGGAATGAAGATAGAAATTTGCCCTCACTTTGCATTTGTTTTTAATTTTGGGTTAAACATATGCCTCAAGAATTACTGCACAAATCAATTGAGTATAAAACTAAAAGAAAAAGAGTCACCAATTTTAGTGAATTTTCAGTTTGGTTTACTTTTGATTTGCTGTTCTAAGTCTTTTATACTTATACTATTTTTATATTTATATTTATATATAAACATCCATAAGACAGTGACTTTATAATGTTTTACCCATTCATCTTTTAAGTCCATTGTTGGTTCTCTCAACTGTCTGATAGTAATAATTGCCCACTTTAATAACATCCGACACTGGTAGAAGTCACTACTTGGCTCTCAGTGAAAATGACTTTAGGTGTTATTTATGTGGGGTTTTTAAAAAGACAGTTTTTATTAACTGAAACTTTGAATAAACATCATGCCTTCATTAATAATTACATTTTAATTAAGGTTTTTCAATTTACCAAAAAAGCTCAATCTGAAAATAATGAGGTGATGGGCATTTATGTTGGTTTCAAAAAAAATACTGTATACATAAGACAACTTTCAAAATTTCTTCCAAGTACACTTTACTAGGAAAATTGTTAGTTTTTCTTATTATATAATCAATCAAAAATGTATGCTGCAGTGATGCAACAGTTACTAAAAAATAAAATTAAAAAGTTCCTGAATTTAGATGTTCACCTTCATATTTACATGTAATTCTGACTTACTGTAATGATCCTAAATCTAAAAGGGTGACTTGTTTTCTTTGTAAGAATCACATACACTTTCATGTAGTCACTTCCCTAATAGTAGGTAAGCATTAAAATTCTACAGAAAGCATTATGCTTTGTTCTTAATATACCACAGTATCCTACATGTATTGATAGGTTACCATACCCTCTTTACTTCATGAAAGGTAATGTGGTATCTGGAAAAAACCCATGGCATTTGGGGAGTTAGACAGTCCTGGTGGGAATCCTGGCTTTGCCACTTATTGGCTCTGACATGGACATGACATGTATTTTCCCCACCACCCCCTACCACCCTTATCTATAAAAATAGAGTAAATTTCATAAACTTGCAGGGCCATGTGAGGATCTGTGTTAACTTACATAGTCAGTCTGGCACAGGTCCTCAATAAATGGCAGCCACTATTGTTGTTAGTAACACATGTGAGGGTCTCCCTTCTAGGTGGTAGAGAGACATGCGCTGTGGCAACTCCCCTCTTCCTCCAGAGCACATGGGTGGCCACAGGGAAGCAGTGTGTGTGTGAAGAAGCAGACCCATCTGTCTGGCTCCCTGCCCCAAGCTGTTTACTGGACTGGTAGGATGGTATTGTGGAAAGAGGGGCTCCCTTTGCCCATGGCAGCACAGACAAGACTGTATCTCCAAAATGTGCCTGTCTTTGTCCTCTCTGAGGACGAAAGGCTTTATTTCTTCAATAAACCAGTATTTGAAGTGAATGACTTCTAAGTTCCCAGTGCCCCGCTCCCACATTCAGGGTACACTGAAAGAGCTGCCTGTGAAGCTTCAGCAGAAACACTAGATGCACAGTAAAAAGTGTGTAGCAATAAAAAATGTATATACCTTCATAATACCAAGGGTTTATTAATGGTAATATACATTTCATCTTATATTTATATTGCCTTTTATGACTTTTCAATTTTTATTTCCTGTTCAGTCATCATTTGTCTCCAAACTGTTATAATTCTGGTAGGGTTTTTTTTTTCCGTTAGTTTTCCGAATACCACACTTAAAAGCCAAACTGACAGTTCAAAGCCAGGTATCTGACAACACCATCATTAAAGATTATATTTGTTCCACAAACACTTACTCAACAAACCCTCATCAAGCGACATCTATAAACAAGGTATTGGGCTTGGTACTAGGGACATAAAGGTGAATGACTCAATGCTGCTCTTGTGAAGCTCTGTCTGGTAAGGGACACAGGCAAACCACCACACAGTTCAACAAAGGAGAAGCACCCAACCCAGTCTGGGATGCCAAAAAGAAAGTGACATGTGGGCTGAGGGCTGAAGAAGGAGGAAGAACTGGACAGCCTGTATAAAAGCATAAAGGCATGAAACTCTTACTAGCATCACCATTAGACTAACAGTCCTCACATTAGCACAGTGTTCAGTGAATGTGCCCATTACTGAGTGAATGAATAGAGTAATTTGTCAGACAGGTTGGCCAAGTAATATTCACTTTAGCCACGTTTGTTCCTCGATAATATAAACACTTTTACACTTTGTAGTTATCGAATGTCCTCTGTGTGTCAAATGTCCTGGTAGGAGTCATGGAGAAGCATAAATAGAAAAAAATACATAATTCTGTCCTCAAGAAAGATGCATTACTTCAACAAATATTTATTGTGCTTTCTGTTTTTTCCATATGCCTGGTACTTTGCAATTGGCAGAGGAAAAAACAACAGAGGCTGTTTATTAAAGCAAAGAAAGAACAGAAGCATAACAATGATTTCAGCATTCTAATTCTTAGTTTTGAGGTTCTCTTAATTTTACCCAATAAATCTACAAATGTCTCTGAAATAATAAGAGAACTAAAAATATAAGTGATACATTCAACATTATAGTAAAAAGGAAAAAATTAGGATTCTGGTTCCTACACTGCATTTCCTTCCCCAAACTTTCCAATCCGTCCCCATATTGGTTTGAATCAAACAGTCCATCTATTCTCTTCCATTTTTGCCACAAATGGAATGACTTAGCATTTGCAAAGTCAGGGTTGTTCACACCATTCCTAAGGCCTAGAATGCCCTGACATCTCCTTTCTTCTTCCTCTTTTAAACCAGCATAAGTCCATAAAAAAGTCACACCAGGTTTTTTCATATTGGTCATTTCTTCTTCCTCTTCCTCATGAAACACTTAGAGACTAGAGAGGAAACACTTAGAGGCAGAGGAAATAATCACATTTTGTGCTATTAGTATTATAAAATTAGGTCATGGTTTTTACACCTATTAAATACAATTGCATTATTCAAAAGGATACTTCACTTTCCACTGCACTCCTCTCTGTATTTCGGAGTTGTCTTATCCGGCTATTGAATTCCATCAGGCTAAACATCCCCATATGCACACGTCCTGAGGCTGTGGCACATTCCTATGTCCAAGCCATTCTCGTCCTTTCTTTATATATATATTAGCACTTACTCACTTTCTCTATCTCCTTTATGATTTTAATGGCAAAATTAGAAACTGAAGTTTTCTTCCCTCTCCTACAGCATCAATATTGCTCATGTGTACACACGCGTGCACGCGCGCACACACACACACACACACACACACTCTTCTCCGTTTCACACAGAGACATTCTCCAGGCACTATTTTTGCAACTATCACAAAATGATTAAATCTAAGTTTGAACAGCAGTCCAACTGATTATTTTATCATCAAAATTTCTACTTGCTCATGGGCATTCATATAATCTATATAGACATTTTAGATAAAAGATTCCTAATATAATTGGTATTAAATTCCCTAATGGTATTCTTTCCATTGTTCAAAAATTTATACTTTCTGCTGTGGCAATTTGATAGCAAAAAAAGGGGGGCATCCTTAAGAACAGAATCACAATTCAGAACTCATTCACAAGTGATATAACAATACTATGTGTCATTCTAGGAAAAGGCTGTCAACAGAAATTGTCACAACATTCTTTTCTGTCCATGAAATCTGCATAATGCATGACCCAGAAACCTATCGGGCTAAGGGCTAATGTTTGGCAGTGTGCTAAGGCAGAAATTTAGTATCTAAAATATTTAAAGATGAACTAAAAGGAAAGTTTTTTTTAACTTTAATGAACATACATTGTGTGCTCACTCTGTGACAGGCATCGTGGTCGATTTGGGGTATTTAATCCTCAGAAATTGTCACAACAATCTCCTGTGGTGGGGGCTATTAATTAAGAGGAGCCAACTGAGGCTTAGAAAGAGCAAGTGTAGTAGTTTGCTCAGTGTTAGGCATTTAATAAAATGGCTAAATAATGAAATAAGAGAGAAGAAAAGACCTCTCCTGAAACAGAAAGAGAAATACAAAGTCCAACAAATAATATATTCAAATCAATTTTATATTATGTCTATTAATAGGCCATTTAAAATCAAGGTAACAAAAAGTTGGCCCAGCTAAATCCAAAGTGGTGGCTTATTTTATGAAGTACTCTAAACTGCAGAACTAATCTATTTTAAAGTAATAAAATTTCATACTAGGATATTGAACTAGAATTGCTGAAAATCTTGTTTAATTAAATATGAATCTAGTGTATTTTGTAAAGTTATATTTGAGATCTTAAAAATAAATGTAAACACCAAAAAGCTTTTGTAATGATCTATTGATATCTTTTTTTTTCCCCCTTTGCTTTTCTAGGCTTAGCTTGATTGAATGTTGAGCTGTCTGAAATAGTAAAAGGGTAGGATTTCTGTACTACCACCACTGCTGGGACAGTAAGGAACCCGAGCAAAGGGACTGTCAGCTGCGCTTCCCTAAAAGATACCAGGAGATGTTCCTGTCAATGCATTTGGCCACCTGCCCTCACTTCCACAGAGTCTAAGAGTTCCCCTAGCCCTTGGCACTTATTATTATAGACCAAATGGCTTTCTGGATTACAATTTCCCCTCAGTATAAGGTCATCTTCTTTTCTTGGAAATTTGCATGTGATGTGTGAAAATCACAGGAGTTTGGAGTCCCTGAGCCCTCTCAAGATTAAGACCAGGTTCCAGTGAGTAAGAGAACATCAGAGAGGCC